GTATTCCTTGTAGAAATAACAGCCTGACCAAAGTGCTTTACAGAACTACAAAATTAAAAGACAAGTAAAGTAAAGTGAATTGCAGTAGTCTACAGTACGTGTGAGGTGATAAAGGCATGAATAGCCATGTCAAGAGGTTTTTTTTAAATATACATTAAGAGAGATTTTATATTGATTAATCTTTGTTTTAATTTATTATTTGATTTAGCATTAATGACATTGACATCAGCAGGTATTTATAAGCTGCCGTCACTTTAAGGCTGAATGCATGGGTCCAGTATTAGGAATGGGGGAAAAATCGGTTCTTAGATTCATCGCAATGCGGACGGACACAAATCACAATGTCAAAAATCGATTATTTAAATGTTAACTGATAATAGGGGCAGACTTTACCATTAGGCAAAGGTTGGCAATCGCCTTGGGCCCCGAGCTACCTAGGGGCCCCAAAAATGCCTCATTAACTTATGCTTAATTTTTTATTTTTATTTTTTTTCACTTTTCACAAATTTTATATTAAAAAAAAAAAAAAAAACTCCATTTGCGAAAAATGGCATCAAATCATTAGTGTTGCAGACTGGAGGGGGCCCCCGACCTCACTACATTGGACTATTCCATTATCTCTCCTATTGCACATCTGCGAAAGTGACAAGGCTGTAATGCGCCGAAAAATAAGTGATTGACAGACAGAGTGTACAGAGTAGTAGACAGCAGGGGCGGCTCGCCCATAGAGGGCGCTGGGGCGCCGCCCTCCCTCCGACCTGTCTGTCTGTTTTTTTTTAAATATATATTATAATTTATAATTTTGAAAAATAATCTGTGTTAATTATATGATAATAATGGTTTTACTTTGAAAAGTGTTATGAACTCACCAGAATGATATTTGCATTCACTTTCGTTACTTTTATCATGTTGGTGTAGTAGTATAGCCAATAGGCTGTCTTCTCAGGGCGCCAGTTTGCTCAGCCCCACAGTGCTGGAATTTAAGCCAATGGTTCCCCGGTTGCTATGCAAAAAAGTTTATATTTCGCCAATCAGCGCCGTCAAATTTTATGGTTTAGGGGCGCTGAAAATATCGCCCACAGTATCAGATTAGGGGAGTGCACCGTGCACGCGCACCACGGGACATTTTTTTTACCTCAGATGAGAGCAGAATGGCAGCGCCAGTGACGTCGAGTGGAAATAATGTAAAGTTAGTCGTGGGAATTGACCTGTCTGTCTCTGTCACTCACTCACTCACTCACTCACTCACACATAAACACTGTTTCACACACATTTGATATTAAAATAGTTATAGGAATATTAATACCTGTGTGTTTGCTTTGTTTTTGATGTTTTTAAGTTCTGAGCTAGATTACTGTGTTTTATACTAGTTAAAATCAACTTTCTTCTCATACTTGGGTGTTACAATCAAGAACGTTGTCCCACCCTCTTTTTCAGAGCCTTTTCTCTCTCTCTTTCTCTAGTATCAACACATTGTTATCCATTATCCAATTGTCAATTTGTCAAAAATATGTAGTCTACAGCTGGGGATTGATTAAACTAGATTGTTGTATTACCTATTATTTTTTGTATTACCTATATATAATTTATCAATATTATGCGTTTGCACTTTTTCTGTCAGCACACAGAGCATAATAAACATGCAACTTGTTCATTATCATTAACTGTCAAACAAATTATTATTATTGTATTATTTGACCATTGGTATTGACTGGTTTAAGTTATTTTATTGGTATAGGTAAGGGCATGGCCTAAGGCCTAAAATGCACCAGAATGCAGGAAATCACATCTACTAAATTCAAAATTTTCTGGGGGGGAACCCCCAGACCCCCCTCTTATTCAGCCCCCCCTACAATAATTTTCACCAGCCGCCACTGGTAGACAGAGTAAAAATGAAGCGAAGCTACCCAAGCAGTGCTGAAAAAACCAGGAAGTGAGAGGAAAGCAAAAAGTTTTTTTGGTAGGTAACAAACTTTTTTGTGATCCCCACTGACAATGACAACAACGCTAACGATACGACCACCATAATGACAGTTAGCACTGCTGCTAGCAAGGAGAAGCTACCTGTTGCGGCCGACAGTGCCAGCCAGGTACATTAGCTTTACCTGCCTATCAGCCATTCAGTCGGATCTAATGTGTGTTGGTGCCAAGAATTTTCGTGGGAAGAAATGCATAGATCCGACGGTCACACCACATGCATGCACTTTAATGGCCTTGAGATTGGTGTAGTCTACGTGATACGCAGGTATACGCCGTATACCCACTAGAAAATGTCAAGGATTTGCGTATGCCCACTAGGAAATGTCAAAGATCTCCGTATGCCCACTTTAAAAAGCGTGAGGATTCGTAACAACATCGTTTTGTGAAATACATTTCCTACGACATCAGCCCCCCTAAACGTTGGCGACAGAATTCCGTGTTCCCGAAGTAAGTTCTGTTATCAGATTCAGCGCGCGAGCAGAGAGCACGTCAAAAACAGAGGACAGAGTGTGTGTAGTGTGTGTGTGTGTGTGTGTGTGTGTGTGTGTGTTCGTGTTCATCTGAGCCTCATTGGTCTGTCACTGCTCGTCAATGTCAGAATATTTGAGATGACAAATCAAATCAAAGTAGGCGGGCTTTATATATACCCTGAGCGCGAAATTTCAGCAGAGCAACTCGACGCTTCAGTTTACGGGCAAGTGCGAGATAAGATGTAAGTGCATGGCTAAACTTCATATTTTACATTTTTTAGGTCATAAATGTTAAACGAATGACAAAAAATAACCAGGCAAACTAATATAGTTTTGTCTAATTTCGCCATTTTGAACTGAAATAAATAGGCCTGTAACGTGACTCATGGATTTTAATAGTTTACTGTCATTGCGAGGGGACAAGAAACATTAACAAAGACCTTTTCATCATTTTAGCCACAAGAGTAATAACGAATGTGTACATATTGAGAATATAATAAAAATTGTAGCCTTTAGTACATTAAAAAAGCTCAGCGAGGAAGAGAATCTACTGCCCACTGACATGGTTTTAAAGCTATTTCTTATTCTTTTTTTGGTCTTCAAACGTCTTGAAATGCACATCAGAGAAATTAAAAAAAATTTGAAGCCCCAACCTCAAATTTAGGACCTCTGTGATTATAAAGCCCTGTCTATGGCCCTGTAAGATCAATAATGAATGTGTAGCCTATATGTTTTGAATGCATTTAATAAACTTAATTACCTAGCTTTAGTAGCTTTCAGTGAATAAACGTGTCAGAGAAAAATTATTCATAGGGAAAATCCACCTATCAGTTGACCCCATGTTTACTGTCTTCATTGACTGATAAAAATGAAAAGCCTATATCAGTCAAAGCTCATCTTCAGGAGGGGAAGAAACAGGGCAAGATAAAAACAAAGAGAAAAAGAGGGTGATGCTGATGAGGAGAGAGAAATAATCAGCTGCCCAGTGCCCACTGACATGGTTTTAAAGCTGTTATCTATTTTTTTTTTTTTTGGCCTTCAAAACATCCTAAAATGCACATATGTAGATCAGAGAAATAAAAATTTTCTCAGGGAAACCCTGAATCCCCATAACTAACCCACCTCACATTTGGGACAACAGTGATTATAAAACCCTGCCTTTGCATGTAATGAAACTGGTTAATAGTGAGCATTAGATCCTAAACTAAAGTGTTACCTTTTTTTAGAACAAATCCTAAGTAATGATCAAAATCCTATGACGCCCCTGCTTCATGCAACCTGTCAAAATCAACGTTTTGTATCACTTGAAGAAAATATTTAAAAAAATATATTACTATTGCACAGTAGAGTATAGGCCTATTTCAAGTAGGCCTAATAATACTAATAATAGTTTATTAAAACACATTGAAGCTCAAATTTACAACAGTTTATAGAGATAAATAAAGTAACTCGATAGAATTATGAAAGAAATTGCATAATAAAATGTAATTTTAAAAATAATAATCAAATCTATTAAAACAGAATTCTAAAGGAATATCACACAAGTTTTAAAAATTTTTCGCAAATGGGTGGCGGTGGTAGCAGGGGGGGGTGGGGTTGGGGGGGTTGGCTGTACGCTGGTATATCACAGTATACTCACTACAAAAAAGTAGACTACACCCCATCCAATACCGATACACACCGGATTTCTTTCTCAACCTTTTACGGTCACTTAAGACATAACCGACTGTGTTTATGAGAATACTTGCCGAGACTGGTATTTTGACATCATTTTGTGTGTCCAGTCAAGCGCAAGGGTGTCGAAAGAGGAACCAGTTTGGCGTTTGCTCGCTATCTTAATATATATATATATATTTAAATAAGAATATTTTGAATGATGTTGCTAATCAATCAGTTTTGGTCCCCATTGACTTCCATAGGTTTTTTTTTTTAATTTTTTGCATACTATGGAAGTCAATGAGGACCAAAACTGTTTGGTTACCAACATCCTTCAAAATATCATCTTTTGAGACTGAAAATCATACAGGTTTAGAAAAACTTGAGGGAGAGTAAATTATGACAGAATTGTCTCTTCTGTTTATTTGTCCCTTTTTAAACTGTCCCTATAAGTGGCCTTTCATTTATTTAATATTATTTAATATTATATTATAAGTGCAGTTATTAAAAATGTATACTTTTTAACAGTGTGTATACACATTCATTCAATACAATTATGTGCACTTCTTTTTCGCAAGGGTGTTTAGTACCACACATTTGATATTTTATATGCTTTTTTTAATTTGTAACCTCTAATTATGGCTAACTAACCTCTACCTCTAAAAAATGTGACTTGACTTGACTTAATTATAATCTCTTTTTTGTCAATATTATAATTTGTCAGTCATTCACACTGCCACACCATCGAACAACACAATGGTTTAGTTTTGCATGGCAGCGTGTACGCCTCCTACTCCTCCTCTTCTCTGTTCCTCAATCTTAAACTCCATGTGGTTCATGTGGAAGTCAGGTTTGCTAAGCTAATGCAGTCATGTAAAAACATCTTTCTTTCAGACGGAGTATTTTGTGGATGGACTGCTGTTCTTTTCAGATTCAGTATGTGGTGTAAATGAAGGTAAAGAATGCTCATGAATATTTTACTCATTCTTTTCTACGCCATTTTTAAACGCACTTGCGCAGTAGCTTTGTCCAAAATCTGTTTTTTTTTACCAGCATATGGATTGTTTTAGCATGACGGAAGAATGTTGTGACTATTTAAAGAACCAGCACCGCAGGAATCATTCAGCCCTTTGTGTATTGAAAGAAATCGTTGTTGCAGCTTGTCAACATGCCATTTGTAATGGCATGTAAAGCTTGAAATACGTTTTCATGATTTTTTTTTTTTTTTTAACAGCTGTCAACTATACATTGGACAAAATGAACAAAAGAGAGGACACCCCTAAAGACCGGTAGGTTTCTTTTGGATTTTATTTCATTTCTATTCATTGTTTTCGCCTTCAACACACCAGATACTCTCAAACTAAAGGGCTGATTTAATCTTAAGCTCAATGATATATGATTTAGAAAAAAAAAACACAGGGATTCAGTTTAATTGTAATGAAAGCAAACAAGTGAGTCAACAGAAAGGACAGACTCTAATCAAACTAAGAGCTTTCCACGAATTACCTTGGTTCATAATGTTACAAGTGGACAAATAAGTCAATTCTCATGTATTCCTCTTGATATTAAAACTGGTAATTAAGCTTGAGATAATTTGCATTCAAATTTTATTTGTGAAGGTAGGGTTGCCATTGCCCTTCAAGTTTCAAGTTTCTTTTTTATGTGTGCCAACTTAGATCACTTTTCAAAAAGATAATACAAAGCGTAAAATGGTGTAAACATTTGGTTGGATGATAGATAAACACGGCCAATTTAAGAATTATTCAAGTAAAATTACAAACAGTACTTGGAAAAGGTTTTATACTTTTGCCTGTTGGTTTGTTTTGCATGTGATGGATCGTTATTTAAATTATTTTTTAAATAAAAAATGCAAAACTCCTCATTTGGTTTTGGCATTGCACTGTTCATAATGTCATGCTGTGAACTAAAAAAAAAAAAAAATCTCAAATTCTTTTTAATTGGGGAAAATGAGTTTATTGCAAATAGACATTTACTGTCATGTCTCCTCCGTCTAGCGGCTGTCTGGTTGCGGTCATGTTCTTCATCCTTGGCCTGGGAACACTATTGCCATGGAACTTCTTTATGACGGCTTCTATGGTAATGGAATGTGGAAAACAACATCGAACAGGAGTTTTTCACATCTTTAAGCCAAATCTTCTGGAACAACACAGTCGTTTGCATTTTAATGGACACTTCATTAGTCTGAGAGAAATCCCCCCCTCAGATATTGATCTTTTTTCGATCTGAATTCCCCAACCAGTGTAATTAGTTTGCTAGATGGCTAACAGCCAATATTAAACCTATTAGCCTGATCACTGCTCTAAAGTTTTCTCCAATATTCCTGCAAGCACTATAATTGTGATGTCATTACTGTGTTGTGGTTAATCTATATATAATATAAATCAATTTTCAGATTACTGTGTGCTCCGTTGGTTACAGTGTTTACTTTTTATGTTGTTGTTTTTTTTTTCAAATCGGATTCTCATTTTTGTGTAAAATACATGTAAATTTGATCATAGAAATTTTGTTATTTACTAAATTTAAATGATAAAATTTGTCATCTTAGTTTGTTATCGTTATCATATCTAAGTTATCGACATTGGCCATCAAAAAATCCATATTGGTCGACCACTTAATCTGCGAGTTCATATTGTTGCATTTGTTTATTTTTCAGTGTTGAAAGTGATTGTTTAGTGTCTCTAAAATCTTTCATTTGGTTTTTACAGTATTTCAACAACAGACTCAATACATCTGAATGGAGGAATGGAACAATAACAACTAGGACAGAGTATTATTTCAATAACTGGATGACTCTTCTTTCCCAGCTGCCTTTGCTGCTGTTCACTTTGCTCAACTCATTTCTCTATCAGCGGTAAGAGTTTAATTTTTTTAATTTTGTTAGATTTTTTTTATATCACATCCACTAACAACTAGTAAAATAGTTTTGTAGCAAACAAATGGCTTCTACAAAATGTTTTAGGACTCATTGCAATTAAAATGTTTATTACACAAATTTTTCTGTCAGAATATATAGTTGCTAAAATGTTGTTGTTGTTGTTAAAATAATACTACAAATAAAGTGTGTAGTTTTAATATTCCAAACATTTACTGAAAACAGTAATATATAGCAGATCATTTGTGTTTCAGGATTTCAGAGGGGATAAGGATTGCAGGAAGTTTAGTCTTCATCCTCATCTTCTTCATCATCACTGCTGCCCTGGTGAAGGTCCCAATGGAGGAGGACAGGTTCTTCTCCGTCACCATGGCAACTATCTGGTTTATCAATTGTTAGTGATTTTGGAATCTCTTATCACCATCACTTAGGCTATATTGTTACAAACCTTTTGAGTCTATGGAGAATAAGGCTTGCGACATTAAATACTGAGCTGTACTGTAAATGAACGTCCAAAACCCATAAAAAGTTTAGTTTTTTAGTTGAAAACCGTGTCGTGTAAACGCCCCCTAAATCTATTTCAGAGTAAACGCATTAATATGGAGATGCATCAAATATTGTTAATGTTTTTATACAGCCGAAAGTTTGTTTTTGTCGGAAAGAGAAAAACGTCTATGTGGCGAGCAGGACGAGCCCGAGGGCCGTGAGAGAGCGACACGTGAGAGAGCGAATATGTTTTTTCCAAAAGTGGTTTTGGTCATTTGCTGTCGTTTTTATCCCACTGATATAGGTCCAAGTGTGTTTTTAAAATAAGTTTGGTTTTAGTTAGTTACGTGATGCTGTAAAAACGGTGGTGTAACGTCATGATTGATAGTGGTGATTGACAGGTTCTCTGTCACTGAAGCACCAACAGACATTTTTTTTTCGGACTGAGGAGATTGTATTTACTTAATTTTAACAAGCCTCTTGTCCTGCTGCAGTCAACAGACATCAAAATTGGAGCAGAACGGAAGAACAGAGCAGACATAGGCCACTTATGTCGGCAAGTCTGGCAGATTGAGTGGACTTAGGCAAGATTTTGAATGTTTACAACTCTAATGCCCCTCCCCACTAAGAAATACCCTCCCTCAGAGTTTATGCTCGTCAGTGCGTGTTTACCAGCTTTTCTGTGAACGCGCCCGTCTCATCGGCATCCATCAACTTTCTTCCAAAAAGCCGAACTTTATTCCTTCATATGGATATGTTTATACACCTAACGTTACATTCACACAGATTTCAGTGTAAACAAAGCTAACGAACCTGCCCAACAAGTGCTTACGTAAGCTATCCATACCAAGCCCTGATTTCGTGGCTTAACTTCTTGCTCACTACTGGGCAGGTCTGGTCCCGAGATCGCTACTGCTCAGACTCAAGTACCAAGATGTCAGGGCCATATTGGGACACTGGCGGCTTCAGTTCTCCTTAATGGAAGAGAGCAAAGGGGCGTCGCCCATTTTTTTTACAATCTATGGGTGTGACGCTCCGTTCAACATTCCTCGCTATGCACGTGCACTCCACTCAGTCGTTCACGGCCCATGCGAACGCTCCACTAATGTACCGCTCATCGGAAAAGCAAATAACGTGCCCATGTGACATTTTCTTAGTAGGGCCATACTTGTTTCTGTTTGCAATAGACCTACTGTGCTGTAACATGGTGTGGTATAGCCGTGCTGGATAACGCTGGTGAAAAGACGTTACCCTCTTGTTCACTGATCCGCTCCCCTACACTCACATGCTCTGAAAATAATTGCTTTGTAGGACTATACATTATTTAGAAAATTGGTCAAAAATTAAATCTGTTAAATCTAATTCTGTTGCGTAGAACTGAATAATAATAATAATATTTCCTTACATTTATATAGCGCTTTTCTCATATATATATACAGTATATATTTAACATCCTGGGATTTTTAATGATATCATATTTACTATAATATATGTTCTCTCCAATTTTAGTGTTTCTTTCAATAAAAGTGTGGTGTTTTTATTTTATTGGCTTGTATTTTTTTTAATTCGGTATCATTTAAAGGATTGAATTTCATTTAAAAGTCTAATATTAAAACAATTATACAAAAAAATGTAAATAATAAATAAACATTCTGCAACCATAATTTTAATTTCGGTGCATCTCTAGTTTTTTATGTGTGTCACCCACTCTTGCTATAAAGTTCAGTATTTGTTTGTGTGTTCTTGATGATTGTTGTTCTGTCTGTCTCTCGGCAGCGTTCGGGGCCGTGTTACAGGGAAGTCTGTTTGGTTTGGTGGGTATGTTGCCGCAGAAGTACAGCGGCATCTTTATGAGCGGACAGGGAGTCGCAGGGACATTTGCTGCTCTTGCAATGATCTTCGCCTTAGCAAGTGAGACACATTTTTGTTTTCGTATCATTGAGATGCCATTATAATTCTAAATAATATTTGGAATGTTTTCATGTTCATGTTTTTATTTTTACATTTTTGTTCATTTAAAATCAGTTATGTTTATATATATATATATATAATTAATTTATATTTCATTTAGTTTCAGTTTTTTTTAGTACATCAAGTTAAACTAAAGGAGAATTAGACTTTTTTTTTTAATTTAAGTAACTGAAAGGTATTTTATGTTTTTTTTAAAGGTACAATATGCAGGATTTTTGCAGTAAAATATCCCAAAACCACTAGGCCAATGTTATGTATTTTTTTTAGTTGATTACTTACAATATCCCAAATGTTTCCAGCTATTTGTTTATCGTGAGAAAATTGCGATTTTTAACCTAGGAAACGGGGCGTATGAACGGGTGAGTAGTCGCATTATAATAATAGTATGCAAAAAACAATATGTTCCTGTTACATGTACGTACTATAGCAAATTATGCATAAGTACAAGCAATTTACCCTAAACCAAACCCTAATTGTATAGTAAGTACATGTTGTTAATTCATATTTCTCAGTGCTTGTATAAATACAACAAGGGAACCTTAAAATAAAGTGTGATCTTAATAATCTTGCAAATGAGGTATTGTGAGATTAAGCTCACTAGTGGGGACACATTTGTCGGTTTCATCTTTCATCATGTCTGGCAATGTCAGGTCAGCATTGCATTTCTTTGCTTTTTAGATTTAGCTTATTTAACTCCATAGAGATTCACTGTTGCCAAATGAACATTCATGCATTTATATATAGATCTGTTCACTGGATGTGTGTGTGTGTGTAACAGGTGACGCTGACAATGAAACGGCAGCTCTGGGTTACTTCATCACTCCGTGTGTCGGGACCCTCATCACGCTCATCAGTTACATGCTGCTACCCAAACTAGTGAGTGTGTGTGTTTGGGTCCTGTCAGAGCTGTGCTTTTCTTTAGTCAGCTAATTCTGAGACTGATCTCTGGAGTGTGTGTGTGTGTGTGTTGCAGGCATTTGCTAGATTTTACCTGGACAGCAAAAGCAAGAGCTACGAGCTTGAGCCGTCGAGCCAGCTGCTGACTACAGGTGACACTTGTTGTTTATGGTTTTTGTGGAACATGCACATATTGGATTGCCATTTCACCATTATTTATAGGTAAAAAGTATCTTTTAAAATAATATTCATTCCAAGTGTTATTTCCCTTGGGAAATAGAAATACAAATTTACATTTACATTTATTCATTTAGTTGACGCCTTTATCCAAAGCAAGCAACTTACAATTGCTATATATATGTCAGAGGTCGCACGCCTCTGGAGCAACTAGGGGTTAAGTGTCTTGCTCAGGGACACATTGGTGTCTCACTGTGGATTCAAACCTGGGTCTCTCACACCAAAGGCATGTGTCTTATCCACTGCGCCGTCACCACCCCATACTTTTAAAAGGGTATGTTTTACAGAAATAACATACTATGAAGGTGTGAACTGAATGTAATGTTTTCAGGCACTTTATAGGATGTTAATTGCAATTAAATGAAAATGTATTATATCTGTATTTAACATTTTTATTTTAAATGCGATGAGCTGAACTTTAAAGCACTTTTACAGACCCACTTCGGTAAGACTTAAGTACATCTTTATATGTCATTTTATAATTGTATAGACCCCTTTTCAGTTGGTAAACATGGAGACGTTTTTTTTTGTGGGCGGAGCTTAGGTGAAGGCAGAAAAATCCCTCTGGCCGCTTCACTTCACTAACGCTAGTTAGCAAGGATTGCTAGCTTGTTTTTTTAACAATGACTGGAGAAAATCCGATATTATCTTAATGTGTAAGGTCACTCAGTGTCCAGGACCGCGATTGTTATATTCGTTACCTCGGTTGAGTGGCCTGACTTCTACACCTACCTTGTAGAGAAACCGATCGTAAATAGAAACTGAGGGCATATAAATCTTTAGATGCCTATATGGTCCTGTACAAGACTTGTGTGTACGATCCACAGTCTTGCCGAGACCACGACAATGTAAAGAGTGACATTACATGTCATGTGAATATTTTCTAGAAATAAAAGTTCCAGATACAGCATATTCATTTTTCATCAATTCTTGCACCAAACAACACAACAAGATGACATTTAATAATAGTAACAATTATTTAAGCTCCTTATTATGTAGCCGAATCTGTGCTGTTTTGTATTGGCCGCCTCCAGTTTTCACTTTGTTTTGCCTCCAGCTAGCACCGTGACGTAACTCTGACGTCGGCGCAAAAGGGGTCTATTGTCTTTTTTATAATTAAATTGCTGAATTTACTGACTAGTATTAAACTAAAATGTCTAATATTTGCAATTACACATTTGTAATGAAGTTAGTACGTCTAAAATTACATGTGCTTTAGTATGTAAGTCAACACATCAAAATAAGTGTACTTTAAAGCACAGCCCACATTATTAAAACAATTTACAATGCACTTTAAAATAAAACTTTTAACTTGACGTTATTACAAAATTGTACTAAAATCGAAAGTCACAAAAGTAGACTGTAAGTACACTTAAGGTGCCGCATGTCATTAATATTCCCTAAAAATGCACAGTCACTAAAATTAAGTGCACTTTTTCACAAGGGAATCCTCCAGAAACTGTGGAATGCTGTGAGACGACGAGCGATCCGTCTGATGTCTCTGTGGTCAACAGGGATCCGAACAAAGCTGCTAGCTGTGTCGGTGAAGAGGAGGGTTGCAAACAGGCCTTCCTCCCGCTACAGGCAGAAAACACTAACACCCAGAAGAGCTCTGTCCTGCAGGTCTTCAAAAAGGTGACGTTATGTTTCACCAATCGAAATATCAGAACGTCTTGAAGCTTGTGGTCTGTTTTGAATCAGTGGCTTATTGTCATCATCTCTCTCTAGATTTGGGTTATGGCGTTTTGTGTGACGTTTGTGTTCACAGTAACACTGTCAGTGTTTCCAGCTGTGACCGTGGATGTTAAAACTGTCTATGGAGGAAACTGGGGTATGGAATATTACACCAACACTACCCGTAAACTTACCAATTACAGAAAACTTTCTGCACTTTTACATTTTATTAATTCATAATTTAGTCTGATTTACTTGCTGTTTTCCTCATGGGGACTAAAATATGTCCTCATAACGTAGGGTTTACCTGGACCCCCCCATACACACACACACACGCACAAACTGTAAAGTTAGATGTCTGTAAAGCGAGGTAAATAAATAAATAGATATTTCTGACTCTGTTCATGAGGGTATATATTGTAATTGAAATCCAGACAGATGCAAATTGAACGCTTACAGTAAATGTTTGTTTTTTTGCTAGTAGTTTAAAAGAAGTCATGTTATGGAAGCCAAATGGCCTAAACTCTTAAAGTTGACCAGTGCATTGCCTGTAGTGTCTTTAATGCACAACATTGCAAAAGCTGGCTTGTGTACGTACATAATTGCATAATAGGTTGATCAAGTGCATGTTGTATTTGGAGCATTGCCTGACCAAACGCTGATAGTCACATGCAGCAATTTCTACATCTTGCCCAAAACATTATGCTAATGATTAACAAAGCAAGTGCACGTTCATCAATTTCAAAACCTTACTCATGTTTGAGAGTGGAGGACACTTAAAGGAATAGTTCACCCAAAAATTATCCTATAAGTTACTCACCCACAAGATATCCTAGTATATTGGATTGAATTTATTTTGAAGGTGATAATTAGAAATATATTGTGTATATTTTATTAAGAAAATTGTGGTTCAGTGTTGTATAGAAAATACTGAGAAGATTTCACTAATAAAACAAAGATACATTTTCCTATTTTTTTTTAAGGAAACACAATAAAATGAAGGAAAAAGGGTTACCAATTTATTTTAAGCGAATTAGCTCAATTGTGCGTTTCGTTTAGAGATTGTCACCATTGTTAGATCCCTGCATGCTTTGCACGTGGCTGGTAATGGAGAGGACATATTGAAATTTAGTGTTTTTTATGTGTTTTTGAGTAAAGGGAAACATCTGGTAATGTTTAATGTTCAGTTATGTTTGACATTTGAAAGAGTTTCTATTATGTTGAAGTTTTGACGTTACCATTGTGCAGAAGAGAGGGCTTATAGTAAGGTTGTGAATAAAGCATGTGCGTATTGGTATTCTGAAGCATGTTGCTTTGTTCGGTGTGCAAAAGCCTTGTTCTAATGCTGTGCAGTAACAAGTTTGGTTATGTGCTGTGCTAGGTATACAGGCTTTTAATAGTGCAATATAACTCTGGTTATTTCCATTCTAATTCACACACCTTTGAGCATAAACTTAAAATAAAAAAGTACATTTCACTAAAAATATTAAATTCATTGTATCATAGGCTAAATAATTAAGGGGATTTTACATGATTTATTCAAGTAGATTCCATGAAAGAAGTCAAGCCTTAACTACTCGGAAATATTGTGTAATATTGTTACCACATTTTTATTTTTTTTATTTAATAGGAGTAACATTTTTAGCTACAGTGTACCCCCACAATTAACATAGTATGCATATTAAAGTATATTGGCAAATAATCAGCCAAATGCATTAAAGAACTAATTGGTCATTTATCAATATGCCTTGTGACGTTATCCTGCATGTTGCATATTGTCATATCTCACATAGAAATGTCCAAAGAAAATCAAGATGAAGAAAACATGTATACATACTACTATGTTTTCTACATAAATCATTTTTATGTAATGTAATACCATTGGTGTCCCTAATTACAAGAACATGTAAAAAAAAGTAACGATTTGAATAAAGCAAATGTGGAAATAGACCTCAATAAAAGAGGAAGGTTATTCCAGTCCACTTGAGGGGCCTTATATTGAAATACTTCCCTACCCATTACAGAAAATAACCTTGGTACTGTAAAAAAAGTTGGACATTGGAGGTCTATAAGTGAATGTGTTGAGCATTAAGGTATTAAATGCTGTTTAAGGTATGCAGGACAATTGGAACACATTTAAAGATAAACAGAATCTAGTGGTAATCCCTTCGTTGTTTAGACTGCAACCAGTTTAATGAGCCATATGTAAGGATTTTGCCCGCATTCTCCACCAGTCTGTAAAGACACAAGGCGGGTCTGATCAGGGGGGGGGGGGGATTTGCATATCATAATTAATAATTGATAATTAATAATTATTCATACAGATTTGGATCAGACCGGTCTTACATGTTAATTAATTGATTTTGCCTATCTTGTAAAACGTGGTCCTTGCAATCAATAACAATTAATTTGTGGTTGATTGCGGGGATGCACATGTATGCATATGGGTAAAATTAATAAATTAACATGTAAGACCGGTCTGATCCAAATCTGTATGAATAATTATTAATTATCAATTATTAATTATGATATGCAAATTCCCCCCCCTGATCAGACCCGCCTTGTGTCTTTACACATACATAAGACAATGATGAGTTTTAAATGGACAGTTCAATATAAATCTGCAAAGGGAATTGAATACAACATTAAGGGGTCTGAGATTGGACTCAAAGGTGTTAGTATAAACTAAACTATGTCTGCATAATCAATAATTGGTATTACCAGTTGAGAAATTTTTTTTTTCTGACGAGTTGAAAAACAATTGATTGATCTATACAGAGTGTTAAGACATCCATATACTATATACATACATATCCTAATGATATTATCAATGTGTATCTTAAAGATAATGTCAGGAAGCAATGTTCAAAACAGGAAGCACAACAGCGATTTTGTATTGTGGAAAACACAATCAACAATCATGTTGATGTTCAGCCACTGTTGTACTTCTATCAAAGTCAGATTGAAGAGTTCTTTGAACTTGCAGCAAATCCCGGTCAGAGGTATAGATGACGGTGTAATCAGCATAAAGCTCTAATTCACAATGAGAACAAACTTGTGCCAGGTCATTGATAAAGATCGAGAAAAGTAAGGGGCCTAAAGTTGAGCCTTGGGGAACACCTTTATCAACAATTAAATAATCTGACTGGAATCCTTGGTAAACAACACACTGACATCAATAGCAGTTGAACCAGAGCACAGCATGTTTATTCAAAACAATAGAGTAAAGCTTATCCAGTAGAAGGTAATGGTCAACCATATCAAAGGCCTTTGAGAGATCAATGAAAGCAGCTCCAACGAAATGACCATTTTCAAAAAATTTTAGAGAAAAATTGGATCTAAAGCCAGACTGATGTGGAGATAATGTTATAATTATTAATGTAATGTTAGTTGTTGATAAATTAATTTCTCAATTTTTTTAGCAACTGCACAAATGATAGAAATCAGGCAATAATTATTCACATCAGATTGGTCTCCACCTTAAAAAGGGGCAGCTTTCCAAATTCGTGGCACAGTACAGGTAGTTAATGATAGATTAAAAAGATTTGCAAGAGGAAATATCAATATGTGAGCTGTAATTTTGATAAATGAATAAATTAAAGTGCAGTGCAGGACCAGATGATCTGGAAGTTAAGTTTAAGATCCTGTAATACATTAAAGACATCAGTAGGCATGATCTTTTTAAATGAAAAAGGGCCAGCAGGCATGGAAGAATAAGACCACCATGCCAAACCATCTGAGCAAACAGATTTTGAACTACATAAAGATGAAAAATAATGCTTAAAGGCATGAGCTATATGCAAAGGATCAGATAAAATGTCATTATTGTTGCATATTTGTTTCACAAAAGTTAAGAATGTTATTTAAGTGTTTCCAGTAGTGCCTAGGGTTATTGAAATCACAGATTAGATTTGGCATTCCTAGTTTCAGTTTTACATGTATTCCTTAACTGTCTGTATATTGTCCCATCCGAAGCATCTTTTGAGAAGCGATATTTAACCCAAGCTTTATCCCTTTGTTTGAATAGTTGAAGTAAATTAGAATTTATTCATGGTAAATGCCTACTTTTGACTTTTAATTGTTCTCACAGGAGCATGTTTATCAATTACGGTTTTTACTTCAGTATGGAGGAAGTGGAATTAGTTGAAGCCTGTCCCATCTAATAGATCACGTATGTCATAATCAACATTAATATTTTTACATTGCCATATTGTGATATATTTTTAGGGGGAACTCTGTATTTTAATTTTCCAGATGCAGTATATTATAGAATGGTCACTAAAGCTGTGTGATAAAGCACCCGATTTGATAATCCTATCCGGGTTGGAAACAAGGATCCAGACAAGCAAGGTAGAAGAACGGCCATCAACTCTCATGGGTTCTTTAATTAACTGAGTAAGGCTTACACTGCTTATCACCCGAGGAAGACCGATTAAACCAGTTATTATTAAAGTCACAAAGTATGATCAGTTCATTGTGTCTGTCAAGAGAATTTATAGCAGCCAAGATATCATTTATGGAATCAGTGGGAGCAGAGGGAGGTCTATAAATATTTCCAATAGTAAGCTGTTTGTTTTCATGAACGATGATAGCTACAAAAAGCACATCCATTCTTTTTATTTTTGGGTGAACTATTCCTTTAATATTTGAGATTAATTGTACTCCGTGCATAATTAATAAAATGAACAATCATTGCTGAACTGAATTAATATGAGTAAAGTATGTAATTCCCTCAACATAGAATTAATCTCAAGGCCATGACTTCACATAGTGTGGCCTCAACACAAGGATGTTGTTACTTTGACATAATGATCTCGTGGCCACGACAAAACTAAGTGAACTGAACATGTCTCGTCCCGGTCGACGTAGATTTCAACTGAATGACTGTTTACTATTGTTGTTTTAGAGCTGCTTTTTCAGAATTAAATTCAAGCTGCTTTGAAATAATCTGTACTGAAAAGCGATATATGGTCAAGTAAAGGTGACTTAAAATGTACTTTCACACTACACAATGTCTCTCTTATTACAGATTCACACATATAAGGATGCTTTTTGTTTCTCTACCTCTTTCTCTCAGAACGATACTTCATTCCTGTTTGTTGTTTCCTCTTTTTTAACCTGATGGACTTTTTTGGAAGAACTTGCACGATAATATTGAAGTGGGTGAGTGAATTATTTTATCATTCTTTACTTAATCCCTCCATGAACACATTTGGGTGATTCATAAGAGAACCGAAGATAAAAAATACACACAAGCTGTTCTCAAGCAGTTGGATGTGAGTATGTGTTTTCCGTTAAATGTTTGTATACCTGTCCTGAATGAAAGTTAATGGCTCTTTGATACAGATATGATATACATCTATAAATACTTGGATGTACTCATCCTCCACTATGGTTGGCACTACTGGCAAACATGAGCAAAAAAGGCTGTGAAAAAAAATCTTTGCTTTATATTCACTTCTATTTTCATTTAAAAAGACAAATAAAGGAAAAAATAAATAAAATCTCAAAATTTGTTGAAATAATGGGGGAACATAATTGTTGAAAGAAATATTTAAAATCTAAAGGAGATTCTCTGTTGCAGCTCCTTGTTTATAGTCAGGGAGCCAAAGTCTCAAAAGCTCTATAAAATGGGTTGAACCTGACATGGTCTGCCATACTTTTTATTTGTGTTTTTTCTGTTAACTTTGACCCAGTAAGAACAAATAATTGGAGGGTCTGCTCTGCCGGAAATATCGCGAAAAAAAATTGTGGCCATTTTAGTGTACGCACCCTTTATTTTTTATCAGAAAAATGTGAATTTTTTTTTTTTTCATCAAATCCTTAGTGGGTTGGGTAGGTTCTCAATAAATGCATTCCAGATACACAGAACACATGTGCGGACAACATACACTGAAAAAATAATTCTTAAAACACATTTCTACATGATTTTGCATCAATTTAATGCAAAAAAACCAGGCGTTTTTTTCACTTTTTTCCACTATTTTCATCTTTACTTCATTGGCAATCAACTATTCCATTAAGTTATGACAACAGGCAATATGCCATTCTTTTCACCAAACACTATACTCATTCCACAGAAAAAATGATAAAAATCCAAACAAAATCAATGGATCTGTGATGATTTCACTACTAGTTGGCCTGAGGTAATTTTTCCTGACCCTTTTACTGAAGGTAAAAGTCGCCGTAATCTTTACTTACATCGTCCGTAATGATTACTGAGATGGCACATTCGGACGGGACTAAAATCACAGAGAATCTCTGGTAATTATTACTTTACCCCACCTCTCCAAACTAGTCCCGTCCAAATAGGTCTTAACACAAATTCCTTTTGTGTGTAAACATACTTGGCAAATAAAGCTCACTCTGATTCTGATGATACATTGATTGATCTATTTTAAATAAATGCGGTTATTGTGAACTTTCGGTAACACTTTACAACAAGGTCCCATTAGTTAACATTAGTTAACGATAATAACAATGAGCAATACATTGTTCACCGTATTTATTTATCTTTTCGTTGTTAGTTCATATTAGCTAGTCCAATAAATATTATGAACAGATACAACTTTGGGTTTTAATAATGAATTAGAAAGTAAAGTTTGTTGAGAGTGTCTTGCCTGAAAGTGTCTGGTAGCTTTCTTGCATGATGTATCATGCTTGTGTGTCTAACATTATTTTCCACTTTTATAGCATGTTTTATTACATTGCTAGCATGAATTAGCATGTTGCAAGCATTTTTAACATGTTAATTGTACAAATTAGCATGTTGCTAGTATATTTTAACACATTGCTAGTGTGTTTTAGCATGTTGTTAGCATAGTCTAGCATGTTGCTAGCATGTCCTAAGCTAGCTGGCTGCTAAGCTTTATTAGTAATAGATTCTTGGTGGATAGAGCTTAAATTCTCTATTTTGTATGCAAGTTTTGACCCACTCAATGAAAGTCTATGAGACTTTTTGTAGTTATGATCATCTGTTTAAAGTTCAACAGTTAAGACTGTGTTGAAAAGATACAGAATCTGAGTGTGAACTCTGATGGTCTGACCCGAGTTTGGTGGTTGTTATACTATAGCTTATAGTAGGTCAGTATTTTGGCGTTGTCAAGCCAAAATAATTAGTAAATGTTGAAATTAACATTACTTAATAACAATAACCAATTCTTTAAAAGTATTGTTCATTGTTACATGTGAACTAATGTAGATGAATCTTTAATGTAAAGCCTTACTGAACATTCTATTCATCAAAGAATCCTGGAAAAAAATAACTGTTTCCACAAAAATCAATATATCAATATATTTTAGATTCACTTTTGTATTTTCACAATCACTTGAATGTATTATTTTTTTGTGATTTTTTTATTTATTTATTATTATTATTTTTTTAATGAAACCAGAAGGTTAAACTTGGGTTCAAAACATTTTCCCACAGCCCATAAGAAAATCTGTTTTATTGTGGTGAAATGTTCTGCTTGGTGGAGTATTATTTCATTGCAAAAACGTGAAATTTTCTTCTGTCATCTCTCCCGCAGCCCTCTAAAGAGAGCCGTTTTTTCCCAGCGCTGGTCGTGTCTCGTCTGATCTTCGTGCCGCTGCTCATGATGTGTAACGTGCAGGAGAGACACAATCTGCCTGTGCTTTTCTCAAACGATGTCGTGTTTGCCATAATAATGCTAATTTTCTCCGTGTCCAGCGGATACTTCGTATGTCTGTCCATGACATACGCGCCACAGTGAGTACATGCATTTCAACTCCAAATAAAAATGGGATCAGTAAAATACAGTAGGCTAATATTGTGAATTTTATTACAAATTAAAATAGCTGTTTTCCTTTTGTATATATTTAAATTAAATTGTAACTTATTGAATTTTCACATGATCCTTCAGAAATCATTAGCCTTGTTTACATGAAAAGGATTTCATGAACCTGAACCTAGTGTAATGTTTACTAATGTGATTGAGTGGATGTCCATGTTTATATGTCACAAGTTTAAAAATCAGTTTGGGCTGTGATGCTTATCTAGGGATTGAGAAATGAAGCCTTTTAGATCTCTGAATCTTTTCCCAAAACCCAGATTCTAAGTATCAATAGTGTTGAAAACAGTGCCATCTTGTGGCAGGTCAAATTTATCAGCTCTGTTGGTTTATCCATGAAGTAGCACAAATAAAAGCCTGACAACACTAAAAGTATAATAATATAATAATAATATAATTCACATATTAAATTGTGGCAAATTAAATGTAACAATTATAATCATACCCTCAAGCCCCATTCACACCGCCAACGACTTTTTCTCACTCTATGTCGCTAGTCTCTGTACTGTGAAGTCGCTTGTGGGCGTTCGTTGTGCTGTCTGGCCATAGCTATACAAAATACCATTACAAGTGATGTATAGCCTACAACTATATCATTTTAATTTGACTAGGAAGTTTGGCTCAAAAGAAATGGTATGCTGTTGTGAGTTGTTTTTATATTACCATAGGATTTTATATATATATAAAACTTTGTAAATGGACTTGCAATCACATAACTGGAAAAAAATGACTTTTTTCATTGATCACATTTCTCTGAAACCAATACGTTCTTTGGCACGGAGCTTCGTGTACTCAATACAATCATTTTAAGCTTCTGTATGTCACATCACTAGTAAAAACACCCCTTCCAGTGCCCAAAACAAGGCACTGCAGATGAGAGTCCAAAGCAAGGACATCACAGACGATACGACAATTTTAAACTACTGCTTACAATCCAAATGAAATTTAAATCGAATTTGGCCAAATCAATCTGATGTGGTTACATGTGACTTTATTTTTTTCATTCCGACTGAGCTGCGTTTACATGGACCCTAGTAATAGTTGCAATTTATAGATGTTTCTCCACCTTGAGATCTCACATGCTGATGTTTTTTCCTTCTTTCTCTCTGAGGCTTGTGGAGCCTAAAGATGCGGAGACAGCCGGCGCGTTAATGACGTTTTTTCTGTCTCTGGGCTTGTCGTTAGGAGCAGCTTTTTCGTTCCCTTTGCGCCTCCTGGTCTGACTGACAACCACACTCGGTCTCAAACCGATCCATTCTCAGGACGTCTCCATTGATGCTTGTGCGTCAGTCTCTTCACACACAGTGGACAAAAGCAAATTGAAACAAAACTGAAAACAGTTTTCTTTTTGGCAGCTCAAAAAATACTTTGGCATTTGGAGATTACTTTTGGAGATTTGGCATGCTGTTCTAAAGGGTACAAACTGAACAGTCCAAAAATTTCATTTTTCTATTATTCCTCCATTAAGAAAACCAACATGCTAACAATAGTATTTAAAGGGATGGTTCACCACAAAGTGAAAATTCTGTCAGAAATATAATTAACTCATCCTCATGATGTTCCAGCCTCGTAAGACTTTTGTTCATCTTCGGAACACGAATTAAGATGTTTTTGATTAAATCTGAGAGCTGGATCACTTCTCCATAGGCTCCTTAAAGGTGGAATACCTAAGATTTTTTCATTAAAATATCCCCAAATCACAAGGCCAGTGTTCTATATTTAGTTAAGATGATAACTTACAATATTCCAAATGTTTCAAACAATGTTTAAATCGCGAGAAAATGTATATTTTAACCAAGAAAACGGGGCGTGTGAGCAGGGGTGAGCTGGGAGTCGCCAGTCAATCGCGTCATATCCGCTTACCTCGGTTTCCGCTCGTACTACGTGTAGTCCTGGACAAATGCGGTAGTTGTGCGTTAGCGTCTATCAAGCAACAAACGTCAGCTTGTTTCACGCATTTGTTATGGAATGGAGCACAATTATTCTTTTCATTTATTCTCGGAATGTGAACTGTTGGCTGTAAAGGGGGTCGCACACCGGATGAGAAGCGCCGCGCCACGTTTAGGACAACTCCACAGTAACGTTATCGAACACCGGACGCGCACTTTCTCTTCAGTGTATGGCCAGCAATATTGTTATGTTTAATGACATGAAATGAAGATAATGTCTGTTCTATGTTATGATTGTACTGTACAATCAAATACAATCGTTGCTGAGTCTGCAGTCTGAAAACTTTACCTCAGAGCATCCGTTAACTGAATGAATTGAGAATCTCACCTGAAAAATCTAGTAACATCAGCTTTTGTTATTCAAGCAGCTGATTTCTGTAAATGACTGCAAAACTAAGGGCAAAGTCAGGATCCATTAGCAACGATTTGAGACAAAAATAAGTCGCTTCGTCCAGTGACTCGTACAGTAACATCTGTGATAACTAATTTACTTTTAAACCTGACTTTTCTTGCGGTTATTTCAGTTTAATGAAAAACAAGCATGTCATTAAACGCAACGCAACTTTACCTCATCCATGACAACTAATTTTCGATTCCCGTCTGACTGATTTATCCACGGTGGAGTTGAAAACAACAGTTCCCATCATTCCGCGTTTCTCCACGTCGTCATCAAGCAAAGCCGGTGTTGTTGTTTTGAATGTAGCGCCCTCTAGCGGGATCTAAATCTTAGGTATTCCACCTTTAAGGGATAAAATAAATAAATAAATAATAATAATAAAAAGTGACTTTATTCAACTATTCATTTTGTTCCTTGTAGGCTGTGAGATTTCAAGTAGTGTAACTGTGCAGCACTTCTAGGTTGTAAGTCACACGCATCACACACATGACCAGCATCCGCCAATAGTGAGCCTACGTGTGATTGAATGAGTAGTTGAATAAAGTTTAAAATTTTGTTTGTTTATGTGTTAAGTATTCTCGTCGCTTGATAAACTTAAGTTTGAGCCACTGATAGTCACTCGGACTATTTTAACGATGTCTTTAATAACTTTTGGGTTGGCCAGTTTGATCCCTTAAGAAGCCTGGAGGAGTGATCCAGCTCTCGGATTTCATCAAAAATATCTTAATTTGTGTTCTGAAGATGAACGAAAGTCTTATGGGGTTGGAACAACATGAGGGTGAGTAAAAACTGACAGAATTTTCATTTTGGGGTGAACTAACCCTTTAATCGTGCCAGTAATTGCTAGGGCTGGGTGATATATTATAAATATTCATGCAATTATTTTGTTGATTTTTGTGAATCAGTTTAAAATGTCAGTTTTAGATGAATCAATTGCAAAGTCTGAATCAGCCTTTTGTAAAAAGAAAAAAAACATTGAAAATATTGTTCATGTTTAGCTATTGCCCAGCCTTAGTTACTAGTATTGTTGTTTACTAATGTTAAAGGAATATAGGGCGTTAATCTCTCAGAATCATTTGTTGAATTAGTGGTTGTTAGTGGAAACTGTAAGTTCACCACATGGATCATACAACAAAGATTTGTATTTATTTTTATTTAAGGAAAAGTACTCCCTTAAATAATACTCCCTTATTTAAGGGAAGTCAGGGATTACTACTCTTGAAGGGATATATGAAGAGCTCTTTTCCAAAACGCTATAAATCCATTTCAATAGTTTTCAGGAAAACTACATTTTTTACCTAGACCCACACATTGTGTGAATAATCAAATTATCCTGTTGAAATGTTTTATTGGTTCAGTCTGAACATTTTGAATAATGATTATTAAATCAAACAACAATATTGTTAATGATAAATTAAAAGTGAATTTTATTTATTTTTTCAAAACGCTATACATCCATCCATTTTTTTGTATCATTTTTAGTAAAGTGTCAAACCTCAAACAAATAGTAGGCTACCAATTTCAACATATGCATGAAAAAACTAATTATTAAAAATGATCAATAATGATAACGATATTCAAAAAAGGGATGGGCACCCCTCCAGCACATGCACACACACATAGGCTACATACATAGCATGTGAGCAAAGCGGAGCGGCGAGACGCTTAAATATAAGTAAAAAAAAAACCATAAAATAAACATAGGCTACGTTTCACATTTGTGTTTACTAATATTACGTTACTTATTTTTATTATTTCATCTATGTTGAGTAGGCTATGAAAAGGGAACCGCATGAGATGAGTAAGATATCCGACCAATATCGGAAAATATTTGGAGTGGGTCAGACATGATTTTGACTTATTAAGTTTTGTTTTGTAGAAAGCTTGTAAATTTCGTTTGATATAAATTATATCTTTATTTTAATAAATGTTTCATCAACAAATTGACTGGATTAAAACAGCAAATATCAGACAATATAATTAGGACACAGAGGCGCGCACGTGAACCGGAGAGCGCGTCTAATATATTATAACACCGAAACACTGCGAAGCTTGCCTCACACAGACCTGAGAACTAGGCTACAGAAATCTTTAAATATCTACTTTTAAACAAAACAATTAAAAGCGAAAATAAATTGGCAACTCTCTGCGTATGTAGGCTAATTCGAAGTATCTCTCTATAGGCTTATGCGCGTTCACTGCGAAGATGGCGAGTAGCATCATCAACTTTATCTTTGCTGCTGACACTGACAGAAAACACTAATAAACAATTCCAATGTTTCATGCATAATCATTACTTTTGCCGGTTTTTTGTGGCAAGCTTTATGCATGCATTGAGATGCGGAATAGGCAATTAAAAAACGCTCATATGGTTTCTCTCCCATTTAATAAAATCAATATATGTGATTAGCCTACTGATTAGACAAATGGCTTATCAGTAGGCTAAAAAAATAGGACTCATTTTGAGGAATGAATGAACATAATAAACCTCTGTTCAGAGTGCCGCCGTGCTGGATTGCGTGGAACGCTCATCGAATTTGAGGACTTATCGCGTTTAGGCTAAAAACAGGGCTGGCGCTTATCGCGGTTTGGAAAGAAACTGTATCTTGCAGTACATTTTAAACAAGGAAATATAGCGATTTGGCATGAAACGTTGATGGGTCAGTGAAAGGGTTCTGTCCACAGCAGAATGACACGACAAACTCATTTTTTTTTTAAAATGGCGTTTATCGCGTTTTGGAAAAGAGCTCTTCATATACACACACACACACACACACACACACACAGAAATATTCAGTGGGGTCAAAACTCTGAGACCACATTTGAAAATCTTTTTTGCAATCTAATTTAAACTGTATTGCATCAAATATATATGCAATTTTTCTTGGTCGCTAATGAAATTAGGAACAACAAAAAAAGGATTTGAGGTTCTGTTCCAGCACACGTTCTGTGCCCGAGTCCTTAAATGGATCAGCCAGATCAGTCTGATAATGGGAAACATATTAAAATAGTGAACACTTTTGCATTTTTTATTTTTCATTTCACCAGTAGTCTCAAATTTATGGACTCCACTGTGCATTTGTGCTTCAACTTCAACCCTGTAATCTGTTCAAACATGCATTTACAGATATTTAAATGCAAACATTTTTAAAACATTTTTTTTTCTTTATGGACCTGCAGGCAAAACATGAGTATAAAAGGGACAACAATTCAGATAATTCTGTGTTTGGTTTTAGACCACAAGCATTCAATTTGGCATTTAGAGACCCACAGAATATTTCAGAGAAAAAGATGTAAAACTAAAAGACTAATATTTATCCAATTTGACGGTCTGCTATGTAAAGACCGAGAAAACATATAATATTGACAGAACTAACTAATTGTGGGTAGAAAATGTACTGTATATGGTTAGTAAAAAGTAAATAATCTGAAGATATTATTGTAATTTATTTAGATATTTTAATTTCTTTGGATTTAGTGTAGTGACTATAATAAACAATTTAATTTGTCTTTACAAAATTATTGGCAACACTTTAAAATAAGGTCTCATTTGTTAATGCATTAACTAACATGAAGTAACAATACCCAATAAATAATTTTTACAGCATTTATTAACCTTTGTTAATGTTACTTGGTAGAAATGTTTATGATTAATACAAATAAATGCAGTAAAAGTGATGTTCATTGTGTTAGTTTGTGTTATTTAATGTAGTTAACAAATGAAACCTTACTGTAAAGGGTTACAAACCTATGGTATTTGGGGGTCCTTGGCGTCAAACATGTTTAAAAACTATAGGTCGACCACATCCTAAGTTGTATACTTCTAGTAAAATGTAAGGTAACCTCCATGTACACTTTTCTATAAGTGAAACTGGCCAGTAAACTCTTATAATATTAAGGTCATGTTTATGTTCTTATACAAGAGGATGAGATCTCTTTTAGGTTCAGGTTATGTGAACTCAGCAACACTGCCTTAGACGGACAAGATCTTGATGTATTGATGT